CCTGAATTTGGCTCTGAACAAGAGCACTCTGTTTATCACATTGTGCCAAATTTGATGCTGGTCTGAAGCCTAGTTTAAAAAGTATACATGTTTGTTTGTGCTTCCCTATTTTTAGAATTGTCTTGCAGAGTGTTAATTTGCTTTGCCAGCACAAAATCATTGCTGCACTCTTGTGCAGCAATAACTACAACCATTTCCAGTCAAGCAGGAACAAGTCCCCTTGCACAATATGGATTTACTTCTGAGTATCCAGCATCTTACTTCAACCTTACTGTTCATCAGTAAACTTATAAAACAACATACCTCCCCATATTACAGCAGCATTCCAACGATTTCCTTGCTCTAATGTCCAAGTCAGGGACTTGCTGTTATAACTAAGTCATTTGAATTTTGCCACTTTGGGAGGTGTGTCTGCATAGACACATTTTGCATTTCAGATTATAGTACCTGGAAATGTGACTTTGGACTGTATGGAGTAAATTACCTTATGCAGAATCAAGCCATTGGTCCATCTAGCTCAATGTTGTCTACATTGACTGGGGTTGGCCCTCCAAGGTTTCAGGCAGGAATCATTATCAGCCTTACCCGGAGAGATGGCAGAGCTCAGACCTTCTGCATAGAAAGCACAGCCTGTCTCACTGGGCTGCAACTGCTTCCCTACTCAGATCAGGGGCAGGGCGGGGGGGAGGGGTGCAGAAAGCCATGTGATGATGGGCTGTTTGGGGCACAAAACTATACCTTCAGAATCACTGGCTTTCTGTTTTATTTACAAATGGACATTTATAAATGTCCATTTATCATACAGTACATTTATAAATGTACTGATTCCATTGAATAGAAATAATGTGCCAGTTTACTTGTTCATAGTCACTGATAAATGCGGCTGAACAAAAATATATCAGGAGTTTTATCTGGAAGTTGAGTCATGGCAACTGGACTTCTTATTAGGTTGAAACAATTTGCTACTCATCCAAGTAGCTACTTCAATCTGAGAGTTGATAGGGGACACCTGATATATTATCCAGGATATATCAGGGACCTTCTACCAAATTTCCTCAGACTGAAGAAGCTACTTGAATGAGTAGCAAAACATTTCAACTAGAGATGGGGGTACTTGTATTCATATACGAATATCCCCACACAGCTGGACTTAATAAGGGTTCAGCCCCAGGGGCTGGACCATCCACTCACATGTCTGCCACTGCTGGTGGCCCCGCTTATCCTTCCAATTGCTTCCAGAGAGCCGCTCTCTTCCCGCTCAGCCAGCCACTCCAGGGGGAGGGAGGACAAGTCTCCCTGCACGGCTGCTGAGTGGCTAGTTGAGCAGGAAGAGTGGCACTCCAGGAGTGATTGTAAGGATGAGTGGGGCCACTGCCACCCTCGGATGCATGAGTGGACGGTCCGGCCTTAGGGGCTGGACCCTCATTAAGTCCAGTTCTGCCGGCCCCAGGGGCTGGACCCTCATTAAGTTCAGCTCTGTGGGGGCATTCGTATATGAATATGAGTACCCTCATCTCTAGTTTCAACCTAATAAGGAAGAAGTCCAGTTGCCATGACTCAACTTCCTGATAACCTTACCTGGACAAGTGAGACTCTTCACAGATATGATTTGATTCTATCTCTCTTGGCTTGAACAGAGACAGAGACTTATTATCTTATTACATATACTAGTCAGCTCATCCATACATGTTTTTCCATATTACCGTATTTCCCCGAAAATTAGACCTAACCTCAAAATAAGCACTAGTGTGATTTTTCAGGATGCTCGTAATATAAGCCCTACCCCCCAAATAAGCCCTAGTTGGGTGAAACCCCACCCTCCACCATTGTGCAGCAACCAGAAGAAGATGGCATAACTGTATTTGAATAAATGTAGATTGTTGTACATTTAAAAAATCCCCTGAAAATAAGCCCTAATGCATTTTGGAGAAAAATAATAATATAAGATCCTCTCTTATTTTTGGGGAAACACAGTACTACTGAAGAGTTGCATGTTTATAGCTACAGTTTCTCTACTTGTGAATTTTGCAGTCCTATTTCCTCTGCTTCCTCTGATTGCTACTGCTAAACTCATCCAAACTATGGGCTATGCTTTTCCATTATACTGAATTTAAATACTTTCCCCCACTTTGTGTGTGTCATTCTATATATCTGTGGTTGAATATGTTTACTACTACCATTAAGAACGTTGTTTTTCATCACCCCAAAGGCTGTCAATCAAACATGTTTACTACTACCATTAAGAACGTTGTTTTTCATGTCAGGAAGCCTTAACAATCACTGATAAATTACTAGCATGCTGGGCTTTCCACATTTCTGTTACATTAAATACTCCCACCCTCTCTATTACTGTATAAATGTCTGTCTGATGAGGCTACACTCTGGGCATTTGAAGAGGTACACTACAGTCTCCAAACATTGATGCCAAATCTACTACCATTAAGAACGTTGTTTTTCATGTCAGGAAGCCTTAACAATCACTGATAAATTACTAGCATGCTGGGCTTTCCACATTTCTGTTACATTAAATACTCCCACCCTCTCTATTACTGTATAAATGTCTGTCTGATGAGGCTACACTCTGGGCATTTGAAGAGGTACACTACAGTCTCCAAACATTGATGCCAAATAAAACTTGCTCACCTGTGATGTGTCATAAGGTTCTTGTTGGTGGTACAGCAACAAACTGACTGCCCTGACCTGTTTTAAAATATATGAATAATCATAGAAATTGCCCTGCTCCCTTCCTTAACACAGGTGGGATTGTATCTGTCAAGATGGCATGTGCTATCCATTCTGTCTCTACTCATATACACACCCACCCAGGTCCACAGGAGGAAAAAGGTGCTCACCCCCTCATGGAATCCTAATGTATTTTAATGTTGTTTAATGTGTACAGCCAGATGTGCTGTGTTCTAGTAGCACATGTGGTGTGGCATGATGTGTTAACAGCACACTAAGCTGCTCCTGTGTACACTCTTCTATCTGCCCAAACACAGAGAGCTTATGGTGTAGCTTTTATTTTCCAGTCCCCTTGCTTTCAAAGGGAGAGCCCTAAACAGAGGCTGAAATGTCTAAGTGAAACCAAAGGAATGCACATCAGCAGTGGTTCCAAACCTTGGGTAACCCAGACGTTATTGGACTGAAGTTCCCAAAAACCTTCGCCACCAGCTGTGCTGGCTGGAGTTTTCTGGGAGTTGCAGCCCAAGAACACCTGGGTTACTCAAGGCTGGGAATCACTGCATATAAGTCTCTATATTTGCTGATGCCCTGAGAATAACATTGTGTGCCATGGCACGGAGAGGACGCCCCTCATGTGGCAGCCAGACAGAGGATGCCCATTCCCACATTCCATTTCCCAACTATTATCTCGCTTCTCTTCAGTTTGCCTCTGGCTTTGATAACATTAAAATCGTTTTAAAGGCCAAATGATGCGGTTCCGAAAGCAGGGATATATGCACACATGGTCTCCACATTATTTGATGTGCCTGGCACATGAGGAGCAGAGGGACAGGGCGGATCTTGGTCTGAAGCAGAGCCCTTGATCCCACGCCCGGGGAACGGGGTGGTGGTGGAAATCTTCCTTTCAAAACCACAGAGGGTACCTCTCGAAACCACTTCCTGCCGGCGGCACCTCTCCGGACACCTGCCTCTGTCCTCTCCCCCCGACGGTGCGGACACTTTTCAGCAACGTGCCTTAAAGCGGCCGCTTGCTTTCAGTCTCCTTTTTGCCTCGGAAGGGCGCGCGCGCGTACACACACAAAACACACACACACACCTCCGACATATATAAACAGAGCCTCTTTTTTACACGCTGTCCTCACAAGGTCCCGTCCAGAGGCGATCACGCTGATCCAACCTGACAGCCAAGCCCCACGGATCAAGAGGCGACCGCCCAGCCTAGACGCCCGGCTGAAGGCGAGACAAAAACCCAGGGGACGGCCCCAGACAGAAGTAGGAAGCACAAACCTCTCAAGCCATCAATCCCAAATCCAGACGTGGCACAAGACCGGCCGATCGACCCCGACGGCTGACAGCGGGAGGACGGACGGACGGGCGGGCACGTCTTTGGCCATGTTTCGCAACAGGGGAAAAACTTCTGGAGCTTTGGCAGAGTCGCCAGCGAGAGCGCCCCAGACGTGTGCCTACTTGCTCCGTCATCCTAACTCTTGCGCAATCCGCACCTTTCCCTCCAGGATGCCTTCCCGTTGCTTTCCCTGGCGGACGTGTTCCACTGCGTCTGGTACCACCACCCCGATCGCTTGCCAAAAACTCGTTCAACAATTTGGGAGCAGTTTGTTGGCTCCTCTGGTCGGTTTCTCTCCTACATGGAATCGAGGAGTTTCTTGTTCCTCTCGCTGGAGGGTGGGGGTGGGGACGCAAATCCTATGCAGGCTTGCCCCAAAAGAAGTCCCACTGCGCATTTCCTCCCTAAGTAATCGTGTTTAGGGTTACCGCCGGAGAGATTGCCCGGTCCCGTTACTCCAGAAGACCATTCCATTCAGGTGGGAGTGAATGCCCGGGAGGTGAACATAGGATTGGGGCCAGGAGTGACTAAAACAACTCCTACTGATTTCTATGGGACTTCTCTCTAAGTGCCTACTGAGGGGTTGCGATGGGGCTGGACTACTGAACGGCAGAGCCCTCCGGCGGGAACTATCCCAATTTTAAAGAAAATCGAAATCGCTTTGATCGCGGTCGCCCCCGTAAGGGTTAAAGAAGTAAAGACTAGTATGAAAAGGGAAGCTTTCCTTCCCCAGGAGAGGCTCATATTTGAAATACCATTCTCCAGGCTTTAAGCTCGCAACTGGAAGCCTGTTGGCACGGAGGACCCGGGCGGATCTTCCCGTCAGATAAGCCCATCACATTCCACCGGGAAGCCCCGGGGGCCTCTCGCCGCCCAACCCACTTCCACCCATCCCGGTCTCCCCATCGCCGTCCCCGACCCTCCCCGCCCCATCAAAGGGAAGTGTGTGTGGGGGGGTATCATTCCACCTCACCCTTCCGTTGATGCCATGGCCTTTTGGGGGAGCCTCCTCCGGCGGTCTGCCTTCAACGATCCGAGGGCTTTCCAGAGTCCGCAGCTGCTTGCAAGGGGGCGAGAAGGAAGGAAGCGTCCGTCCTTTCTATCTCCGGGCGTCGTCGGAGAAGAACCTCTTTAGGTCTTGCCTTGTAAAATCCTCCGGGCTCCGAAAGGCGAGCATCCAAGAAGCCGGGCTCTGGCGATCCCAACCGCCGCCGCCCCCCAACCGCCGCCACTACCTCTTCCTCCACCACCTTCACCACCGCCGCCGCCTCCTCCTCTTCCTCCTGGCTCGGAGTGGCGATTTCTTCACGTCGTCGGAGAGCTTGAATGTCTTGAGGAGAGAAGGGCAGTGGCGCAAAAAGGGGAAAGCGGCGGAGAAAGTCCAGGGGGGACGTTTCATGTCTAAGTCGCACTGGCCATGCTCCCCGGGTGCTTTGGTTGGTTGGTTGCGCGCTTTCCGCCCTCACTTGGGGAGCCGGCAGGCGATGCCCGAGACTGTGTGTGTGTGTGTGCGTGAGAGAGAGAGAGAGAATGGGTGAGAGCAGACAGGGGAGGTTGTCTCTCTCTCTCTCTCTCTCTCTCAGTGTGTGTGTGTGTGTGTGTAAGAGGGGGCGGTGGGACTTCACATTGCCATGGTGTTGGCTGAGGGTGGATTGGAAGGTTTAACTCTGGATTTGCAGTCGATCCCTCTCTATTTTAGGCGAGGGCTGACATCACTCGCCGTGGCAGCGCCGACAGAATAATGCCCCGGCCTCTTTTATTTATAAAGGGGAGAGAAAAGCCCTCCCCGGGGAGCGCGCGGATCTATAGGAATGAGGGCGATCCCGGCTGAACGGGAAAGGAAGGGGAAGAGGCATGCAAAGGCCGGGGACGACTCTCCACCCCCACCCCCCTTTCTCTTGTTTGCATTTATTACCGCGCCTTTTTCCTCGAGAGGCTGCGGGGGAACGGCGAGCGGAGGCAAAGGAGCCAACAGGCGGGGAAAGAGGAGCCTCTCCAGGGAGTCTCCCCTCCCCAGACGATCGATTCCCTTTGTGCTGCTCCGCGCCGCTTTCTGAGCCCAGCCGCAACAACCACTCTCCCGCATCAGCTGCCTGTCAGCTCCGCTAACGAGGGAATATCTACACTCCCATCCCTATCATTCTTCAGCACATCGGCTTTCCACACTGCTCGGGTCTCTCCATCTACATCTAGATGCTTCATCAGGCACATTTTTGAACTAAAAATAAAATTCATTGCATTCAATTTTTATTCATATATCTAATTTTCTTCTGATTTTCTTCAACATAGAAATAGCATAGTTTATCAGCCTGAACTGTGGATGCCAGTTTATCATAACGATCATAACCAACCCTCTAGAGCACCTTTTAATACCAACATACGTAAATATGCACTTTTTAATAAATATACGAACAAAAATTCAATAGTCCTTCAAAATGCACACTTCTCAAAATTGTTGTTTTCCAGTAAAAATTGTGTACTAAAACATATTCACATCCTGTTCCCATCCAACAAAATCCTGGGACATAATCTGACCAGTCCATGATCAAGGCTTTAAAGTTTAATCATTAAACTAACAGTTCAGTGCTAGTCATGAAATCATGTAATTAAAGTCAAGAACAAGTCCAAGTTAACTCAAACGAGGGCGGTCCACAGTCACAGTCAATGGGATCCAAAAAGGCAGCAAAGCACTATTGGCTTATGCTAATTCTAATAAGGCTAATTCTACAACAGCAAGTACACAAGAATATCGGCTGACTCAAGGAACAGACTTTAATCATCAGTGACGAAATTTCTTGCTCCGCAAAATATTCAGTTTCCCCACTGAGTTCTCATTATCCCCAGGTTCAAGTGATTCAAACTAAGCTCTTCCAGTGAGAATGTGAGTTTGTTTGTTTGTTTTTGTTTTTTTTTTGAGGGGAATATGCACAACAAGCATGTGTATTATCAAAAGTGGCATTCAAAGGTATTACATTAGGGAAACTCTGCACTCTTTTGGAAAAACTGAACACACGATTGTGAAAATACTTAGTCTTCAGAATGAACAGAATTTAAATTTGTGGGGTACAGAGACCAAGAAACTGGAAAAAAAGCTGAAAGGGACTATGTTGTTCATCTCTTATAGGGATGTGGTGGTGCTGTGGGTGAAACCGCAAAAGCCTCTGGGCTGCAAGGTCGAAAGACCAGCAGTTTGAATCCATGTGATGGAGTGAGCTCCCATCACTTGTCCCAGCTCCTGCCAACCTAGCAGTTCAGAAGCATGTAAAAATGTGAGTAAATAAATAGGTACCACCACAGTGGGAAGGTAACGGCATTCCGTGTCGAGTCACGCTGGCCACGTGACCACGGAAACTGTCTACGGACAAATGCTAGCTCTACAGCTTGGATACGGGGATGAGCACCGCCCCCTAGAGTCAGACACGACTGGACTAAATGTCAAGGGGAACCTTTACCTTTACCTTAATAAAACACAGCTTTTTGCTCCCCATTTCTATACCTTTTATCTCAGGGCATCTAGTTCAGCTTGCTCTTTTCTCTATCCTTTTTCCTCCAATTGTTTCCATGAAAGTACCTGAATTAACTAACAAATCACTCCAAATCATTATAACTCAGTGGTTTAAGCATCTGCTTCCAGAGCAAGAGGCTGGGAGTCCAATTCCCCACTGTGCCTCCTTGACAGGAGCTGGACTTGATGATCTGTAGTGTAGCAGTGGTCCCCAGCCTTGAGCCTCCAGATGTTCTTGGACTTCCAGAAATCCTGGCCAGCAGAGGTGGTGGTGAAGGCTTCTGGGAGTTGTGCTCCAAGAACATGAGGAGGTTCAAGGTTGGGGACCACTGATCTATAGGGTCCCTTCCAGCTTTGCAGCTCTAAGACGGTTGTCATCATCATCTTACTGAGGTTTCCTACCAAGCAGGCAGGGGTAGTGTAATTGTTCCATCTGTTTTAAAGAGCTATACATTATAAAAGCAGTAAATTGATACTTTGTATTTGGTCACTCTCAGATGGGTGGATGTGCAGTCTTACAAGTAGCACAGAATTCTTCATCAGACCAAAGGAACAATTGAAGTCAGCTTAATAAGCTGAAAGAAATACACAGTTCAAATAACACATTAGCACTTCTGTAAATATTTTGTGAGCATAGTTATGTCCTGAAAGCCATAATGAGAATATACCATATGTGTTTGAAACGGTTTAATTTGGAAATAAAAATAGCTTCTTTGGAGCTCTAAGCTCCAGTGACTATAAAAAGCCAGTCCTCTAAGGCTCTGCTGACCTCTGTTGGAGATGCAGTAAATCAATGCTTATTGAAATGGGCATGGGAAAGAGTTGGAAGTGGACTTTCACTGGAAAATTAGAACCATTTGGTTAGTTCTCTTTTCTTCTCTTCAAACAATTTCTTCTTAATTGACATTCTGGGAAGTAGCTGGTAGATTAGTCTCCTTAGAACAAGGTGGAAGAAAGAATAATAGGTATTCTTCTGAAGTGGAACATTGGCTGCTAGAGCCCTCAGAATCATTCGTCCGGGGACTATAAAGCTGGAATAGCAGCTTTACTTGCAGGAGGAAAAGGCCCTTGAAACTTAATACACAGTCATGCTTAAATATTGTCTCTCTGCCCCACCAACTCCTTTCGGGAAGCATAGACTAGGCAGTCGCCCCAAAGGATATTCTGTGTTTCTGGGGAGGCCAACAAAAGGGTGCAGCTAGGATTGGGCTGGGCCAGGGGCCCCTGATAGCAGCAGATGATGGGCAGTAACTAGAGATGGGCATGAACTGAACTGTGAACCAACAAACCACCACAAACCGGGCTGGTTCATGGTTCGGTTCATGCATTCTGCTTTGCCAAAACAAAGAGCTGACCTTTTTAATGTCTGGCACTTCATTTTAGCAAAATGGATGGCCCACCCCTCCCACAGCTCCACTTGCCTCCCTACTTGGTCTTGCTGCCTCCCTCTCTTCCTTCTCTGTTGCCACTATCTTCCAGAAAACAGCAGCCCGGCTGCTCTTCTGGGAGCCAGGCCTACTGTCTTTGGGCATGCGCTGGCTTATCAGTGCAGTGGCAGTAACGACGGCACAACAGGCGAAGGTAAGTTCCTCCCCTGGCACAGGGTTCTGCTCAGTTCTGCGCAGTGAATGACGAACTATGAATCATCATGAACCACCATGTTCCAGGTTTGTGCCCATCTCTAGCCAATATGGCCAGCCTATGTGGACTTACTCTGGTTGCTGCAGTAAAATTGGTATACTTGGGTGTGTGTGTGTTGTTATTTTTTTTAAATACATTTCATAGGAACCTAGGAAGCTGCCTTATACTGAGTCAGGCACTTAGTCTATCTAGGTCAGTGTTGGTGAAACTGACTGGCAGCAGCTGTGTAGGCAGGACTTGAAAAAACCTCACCAAAATATGCTAGCGTCGAGACATCGGAAGGAAACTCCATTTTATTCATCAGGTCATTCTGGTGTCTTTGTGGGACTTTGAAGTTTGACATTGCACAAGTCCAGGTTTTTCCAGGGTTGAGCAATGCTGGTTTGCCACTGAAATATATTAGAAATGCAGAAGTAGTTACAAAGCATAGAATACAGTGGCATGATATGTTAACTGTGTGCTTCACACACACAAAAAGTTATAAGCATAGCCATTTGAAAAGAAGTCATAAGTATACTAATTTATGTAATTGCAGGACTGGAACCAAAACACAGAACAGTTTTACAGCGCCAATCATGTGCATTCCTTGATTGTAATGTGTCCCCTTTATCTCTGCTTCTGAGTTCATATTCATAAACTGTACTGTGTTGTTTGACAAACAGTTTTCAACCTTGAATGATACAACACTCAGCATGGAACAGGTCCTACCCAACTCTGATACACTGTAGATTACAACAATGGTCTCCTGGTGTGTTTTTTTCTCTCTGAAGTATTCACCGATTTGGAATAATTCTGCTGGGATAATCTGTATTTATCACCGTTTCTTTTTGTTGATGTCTCTGCTAGCTGCTTACTTTGCACATTAACTGAAATTTCCTTCCAAACTATATCCTGTCTTAGGCAGTAACTACACTGGCAAAATAGTACAGGATTTGCTGCAAAAGTAGAACAGATGAAATCAAACTTTTTTTTTTAAATGGCCACATGATGCAATGGCTGATGAAAATTAGCTCAGCTCTTTTTGCTTCAGATGTGGAGATTTTTTCCCCCTGCAGCTGGGGGCTTCTACTTTTTAAGGGTGATTTGAAAAGTGTTTTCCCTGTGTGATCAGTTTTTTTGTTCCTCCAAAGGATGGGGTTGGGGCATGACTGTGGGTGATATTCTGGTGACATACTAAGCTGGGGACCATGTTTTTGACAGTGGGAGCACCAGTCCCTGCAATCTTTCTCCCTAGCTGCCCCAAAGAATTTTTAATTTTTTTTTAAAAAAATATGAACTGAGTTTAAGCTAGATCATTTTATCACTGGATTGATACATTAGTTTAGCATTAGATTTTCACAGATCAAGAGAGAGATATATAAACATCAATATGAAATAGAAATAACTCTAATGAACTACAGCATACTTCTGTGTTTCCACAGTACAGTACGTGGGCATGTACTTGTATCTTATGGAGAACTTTGAAAACTGTCCCTCTTCTCTAATGCTCTGCAACACTTTAAGCAGCCCACTGTTTTTACAATGAATCATACAAGGATTGCAGGGGATCAGACGAAGAGGGGCTGTGACATGGATTGACTCACATTGGATTGAGGGGTCACTGTGAAAACTGGCACCACCAATACAGTCTGCAGTTTTTGTGTGGTCTCCTAATCCAAATACGAAGAAACATTGACTACATTGCTGTGAACTAAGCAACAACAATGTAGTCACAAGCTGTAGACTATTGTTTTTATGTGACTGTTGTGAGGAAAGCCCATGTCACTCCTGTCACTCATAGCTGGAGCTCATTTGCATGAGTCTATGAGAGGATTGCAGGGGCAGGATCATTCAGTCAGTTAGTTAGAGCAGTGGTTCTTAACCTTGGGTTACTCAGGAGTTTTGGACTGCAACTCCCAGAAGCCTTCACCACCAACTGTGCTGGCTGGGGTTTCTGGGAGTTGCAGTTCAAAAACATCCGAGTAACAAAGGTTAAGAACCACTGAGTTAGAGAAGGGTGTGCGAGGTGTAAAGGAGAGAGGTTGAAGAGTAACAAGAGATAGATAGAGAAATAGAGAGAACTGATATTAATAAAGACAAGCTGGTTAAAGTGAATAAGTAAAGCAAATGGTGATTGAATGTGTAACAAAATATACAAGGTTTCAATGATTTTGATTCTATACAATGATTAAAGAACACCTGTGATTCAGATTCAACCTAATATCTTTTAATAAACAAATTCTGTTGGCAGCAAATGTCTGATTAAAGTGCTTTACAGTGCGAATAGGGGAAATCCACTGCTGGCAGCGAAGGAAAGGAAACGTCGCCAGAGTGAACCCTTGGTTTGGGGAAAACAAGCAGGGGAGACTGGGTTAATGTCACAACTGTTTTCACGTTACAATACAAGATGGTCTTGTTGTGGAGGCCCATACTTTTGCTTCTCTTATTTATGTGCCCTGATAGTAGGTGAACAAATGTAAAAGACTACAGTATTCTTATGCAATTCAGTCTTTATTTATTTATTTATTTATTTATTTATTTATTTATTTATTTATTTATTTGATTTATACCCCACCCATCTGGTCTAAAAGACCACTCTAGGTGGCTACCTCTCCTATCCATTCTGCTTCACTCCCTTTGTTTCTGTTGTCAATAAGAGTTCAAATGTAGGTAGGTAGGTAGGTAGGTAGGTAGGTAGGTAGGTAGGTAGGTAGGTAGGGAGGTAGGTAGGTAGGTAGGTAGGGATGGATGTATGTATGTATGTATGTATGTATGTTGAAGGACTGATCCAAGCCCATTTGTTTTCAGAGGTGAAGGAAAAGGTGGTGGCCTTCCCATCTCATTACAGCTCACAGAATCACCCAGGCAGTTGAAGTCCTAAAAGTAATATTCCCAAACTCTGACCTACTAACTTAAGTATCTTTCCACCAGTCATTGGTCTTCAGCACCCCAAAATGGCTCCATGATTCTGTTTAATGGTAGAAACAAGTCTCAAAGCTAGCTCCCTCTTTTTAAGTCATCCCACATTTGTTGCAGTCTTCAGCAATTCCAAATATTCCTTTACCTATCACCTTCTCATTTCTTATCAAGTCAGTCTTTGCCTTTAATCTCTGTGTTTATTTTGTTGTCTGTAGTTGTAACTTGCAAAGTTCTAGTCATTCTAAGGATTCTTTACCTTGCAGTAGTTACAGGGACAGGAAAATTCCACTAAGCATAGATTGTCAGATTTTTGCGATAGGAAAAGATACATTGGGTGGAATGCTCCCTTTTATGTAGCTTGTAAAGGTAACCCAGTAACTTTTTCTCTGTACAGCTTACTGCAAATCTCTCTCTCTCTCTCTCCCCCCCCCCCCGTGTGGCCAATATGCAATGACTGCAACATCAAACAACAATAAGGTGCATAGCTCAAATCCTGCAAAATAGAAATTCCTTGTGACTTGACCTCACTTTATTCAAACACAGTCCTTTTCACCTAATCATCTAATCCATTTCCAGTGTTCAAAATATTGAGTGATGAAATATTAAATATGTTTCATTGCTCTTCAGTATTGTGTCTGTTCCATGCTTCCCAAAAATGCACTGGCGTGGAGAATGTCTTAGACATCAGTTCTGTTCTTATGGGCAAGTCTCTAGGAAAATGTGCCAGAATGGTCAATAAATACTGCAGAGAGGAGAGTTAGATTTGGATTGCCAGAAATCTAATTGTTGTTGTTTAGTTGTTAAGTTGTGTCCGACTCTTCGTGACCCCATGGACCAGAGCACGCCAGGCCCTCCTGTCTTCCACTGCCTCCTGCAGTTTGGTCAAATTCATGTTGGTAGCTTTGATGACACTGTCCAACCATCTCATCCTCTGTCATCCCCTTCTCCTCTTGCCTTCACACTTTCCCAACATCAGGGTCTTTTCCAGGGAGTCTTCTCTTCTCATGAGATGGCCAAAGTACTGGAGCCTCAGCTTCAGGATCTGAGAAATCTAATAGTAAGTTGCAACTAGAATTGACCCACTGAATGAATACAACATACAAAGGAGTTGATTCACCAAATAATAATAATCATGTGCTTTCAAGTTAATTTTTTTTCTAAATAAGAATATTCAAAAGTGATTTACCAATCCCTTTTTCTGGGGGCATCCTGGGACTGTGCAGCTTACCGAAGGCCACACAGGCTCACTCTACTAATGTTACGGCACAGTGGGGATTCAAACTCTGGCTCTGTAGCCAAATACCTTAACCACTGAGTTATCCAACCAGCTTGACTTATCAAATCCTCACTGATCCAGTGGGCTTAGTCTTGTTTAGACTTCTTACTGGGTTTCAGCTTTTCTCCTCTTGAATTGAATCACTTGGGGGGATTTGGTGAGCGGATGCACCTCTGCTTTGATTATTCCACTTTTGGTGACCTCGTGCGGAGTCCACACTCAAAATGTAATCTACCCTCCTGACAATACTGCTCTCATCTTTCATGACACATACAGACTGCAACATACAGCCCTGCTCTCACCTGTCCGTCACAGCTGGGCAGTGGAACATCAGCCAATGAGGGGACGGAGGGTGGTGCAGAAGGGGGAGGAGCTGAAATATAAAAGGGTGTGTATGAGGTGTGAGAGGGGAGATGGAGAGACTGATAGATTGAGAGTTAGTGATTAGCATGTTAGTAGGCCTGTGAGCCAAATAGTCAGTGAGGGAAAAGTCTGTGTGTGATTTAATGAATGAGAAACAGTGATTTACAACTTGATTATCTACCTGTGATTTACTCATTGTATTTTATTATATCAATAAAAAGTTTTGTTTTGGAAGAAACACTTGTCCTTTTTAAATATTGATTATAATTGGTGGCAGCAGTTGAAGAGGAAGAGTAATGAGCACACCTGGAGGCCTGAGTGGATAGAGGCTTCAGAGTGGCCCGCTACACAGACTCACTCACCATGCTAAGGTGTGCATCCAAGAGAGGAAAAGAGCATTAGTCATTTGAACATATAGTATATTGGGATGAAACCTGAGGAAAACATGGAAATGCGTGTCAAGAACATAAGATTTCTACTGGATTATGCTGCAGAACTATCTAGAGTCTAGACCCTAGGTTCCCAACCTTTGTTACTCGGATGTTTTTGAACTGCAGCTCC